AAACAAATATTATTTATTTTGCACTTTATTACACACATAGAAAATTAGTTCACATTGTAATAGTAGTTTAAGTACAATGAGCTGTCTTATCACATGCTGCGTTTTCTTCCAGACAACCTTTGGATGAAATTTTTGTCAAATAATTTGGAAATGTGTAGTACATATCTATACAGGTAGCTTTTTAAGTTAAAAGACAATCTGCCTCGTGATATATATGCAAACCTTATATACAATCTTAACATAACATGATCGAAAATCCCTTGTCACAATCTCGGTACCACTTACTAAGTCACTTATTGCGAAACATTTCTAAAGAAAGAAAATAGACTGAAAGTAATGTATGAAAAAATACTAAAATATCAAGTCTGAAAGCTAGTATTAGTTTTATTTATAGCACTACAGTAAATAGAGAGATTCTTTGCTTATTTTAGGGAGTGTTGAAACTCGTAAAATTTCTTATATAATATATTTACACTTCCATATACATATATATGGCAGGTATACCTACCAGTCGTTTAATATGGCCTCCATAAAACAAGGGTGGGACCATAAACTCACCACGGATTTTCAAACTGCATAATTCTGACAAATTACAGAACTTTTTTTTTCGGGATGGTTGGTAGACTTATAGAGAGTTATTATATACGTGACTATTGCTTCCCTTGAATTCCTAAAACTTAGTGATCTAATACTGAAGTTACAAATACGTATTTGTCTCATAAAACCATCAAATAAATATTATTTATCATAAAATGTATTTAAGTACGCAGTATAATAATGTATATAAGTACACTATCTACCTAATATCTACAGAACCTCTCAGCATAACGATACCTAAACCATGTACAATACAGTGTACGTGGAAATTAGCTTCAGACACGACATGAGAGAAAAAAGAAAATCCTAGATACTTTTACCCCGAATACTACTCCTATATTCGGATATAGACTAAACATGATTTACGGGACAGTCGGCAGTATATGGTACAGCTGGTAACCCTACTATAAATGAGAACTATTTGTGTACAAATAGTGTTCTGCCGGCCGACGGCTCGACCCATCGACAGGCACTTTTACAACCGCTAGCGTGTTGTGGCTAATGCATAATTCAACAGCTATAATTTCAGCTGTAGTCTCAGCTATGCGATTTATCGTCGCATCAAACGCGTTATCGTACAACGGAGACCACGCGAATTGATCGTATCCAATGTTCCTTTATGATATATGAGTCGAAGTGGACAGGAGAACGAGCTGATTGTAAAACATTATTTATAGCTTGTAATGATAGTTAGACTTTATTTATCGTCTTGAGTGCTCGTTATACTATCAAGTGGTGTTTGTTCGTACCTTCAAACAACAAATATAACTGGTTGGCAATCTGATACTATCTTTTACAAAGAAGGTTACAAAGAAAACATCGCAGCAATTAATTAGGGCAATGAATCAAAAGCAAATTGGCTGGCAATAGTCTGCAAAACAAACGTCATATCGACGCCAACAGTCGTGTTTAATTGACGCCGTCGCCTATGAAATTCCGTTTAAATTGGATGTTGTTCTGTCGGCCAACGATTCCGCTATCGAGGACCAACTTGCCGAATGGTTGCCTCCATAGTGACTACTAACTAGCCAGGACGGGCGGCTGGCCGAATTCCGGCCTTTTGGGGGCGCGGGGGACACTTTCGTTGCCAATAGTGGAAAGGGCCGTAATTCGGTTTTGCGGTGGTCCCTCTTAGTACGTGCTCTAGAACTATTGTTTTGTTTATACGACCGTAATTAGTGATGTTTGTCATGTTACGTTAGCGGTTTTTGAAGTGTTTATTCAGACGCACTACTGACCATTAATTTTGTTTAGCAGAATGTTAACACGTGGGGAATAGCTTTGCATGCGGTTAGGAGGGGTGCCGTGTGTACATTCTAAGATACGTTTTTATTAAGGTTTATTTTCTAGTCTGTACTAGACTTGTGTTACGATTTACGGGTAGGATCTTTGCTCCAGGGAAGACTCGGGTTTCCTCTATTTACATAGTGATCTTCAGTATTTTACACCGCTTACGTTTTACATAATATTACGGTCATATTCTTTTGCTATATCTGTGTCCCATATTCTACAAGTAAAGACCAGTAGCCACGATAAGAGTGAACGTTACCAGTGATATACAAGTTAGTTTCTAATTGTTCGTTATTTTGCTTTATTAGCATTGAACTTAAAAGTAACTAAGGCACGTAATTATAAAATATCTGCTAAGATAACTTTCAATATTAGTTTAAAAGCTTTTTGATCTGTGTGTTACTATTGACGTAAAAAAATCATTGACAACAGTAATGATCATTCTCGACTTTTGGAGAAGGTATTGAATTTCATTATTTAATTATCATTTTTTTCGATTTTACTGCCTCCTTAACCGACAGATCGCAAGTGCGACTGCCGGGCAAGGGGTCTCGGGGTTTGATTCCCGGGTCGGGCAAAGTACTACTAGGTTTTTAAAAAAAATCGTAGTATTAGTACGCAATCTGGAATTATGCCCGGTATATGGCAATATGCTCACCCCTATTACTTGGGACTCATAACATAAATAGTGAAAAGTAGGTGTTACTTCTGTGTGCACCTCTGCCTACCCCTTCGGGGATAAAAGGCGTGATGTAATGTTATGTTTTTTCGGTTTTAAAAATTTCCGTAACAAGCAACCTTAACTCCAATATTCAAATTACAAAAGCATCAAGTAATTACGTGGTTCAGATTAACGTTGAATCTCGCCACCCCTTACATCCATTTAGCAGACTATGCTTATCAATGGGGCATATCCCAAAATTCTTGGTCCCATGTTTTTGTAGCTTTGTGAACCCGGCTCAAAGTGCCGACGTTAGGGCGGCTCCTATTGTTGACACGGCTGCATTATTCAATTGCCCGATAGCATATATTAGGCGAGGTTGGTATGTAATACAAAACGTTTACAAGTGATAGGGGACTCTTGGTCCCTGTATCGCTAAGTGGGGGCGCGCTTCTCCACAATCTTATTATAGGAGATGTGGCCACTGAGATTGTTTCTCTCATGTATGTGTTGTATATGTTAAAACTTTGCCTTCCATTTTTTGAGTCAGCCATGTCTTATGTACTGAGTTGGGATTTTTTTTATAAATACAGACATTATTATGACTATCGTTAAAATATTAACGACTAGCGACCCGCCCCGACTTCGCACGGGTTCAATATTAATGTATTATACATATTTCTTAAGAATCACTTTATCTATTAAAAAAAACACATTAAAATCCGTAGCGTAGTTTTAAATATCTAAGCATACATAGGGACAGACAGACGGGGGATAGCGACGTTGTTTTATACTATGTAGTGATAAACGTTACCCTTTTATTTTCCGTTCTTTTTAATTTTTAATTTTTAAATATGGCGGGATACTTCTTACCTATCGTAAAACGTAGTCTTTTAAATATTTGTACATAAAGTATAGAAAACTGATTTCTTTCAATAACGGCAATGAGATGATGTAATGAATGCTGTTATCCTGTCATATTAGCTCTCGAAGATAATAAATAATCTCAGCAGTTCATTTTCTTTTCTTTGTATCAACAGTATTCTATTTGCATATTCACGTAATGAGTATTGTTCTTCATATATTGTCTATGGCTCATATTTGTGTCGTTTATTTTACGTTTGCATTCGCTTTTATTATACGTTTCCATGTTTTGTGGTCTTTGTATCGAAATATAAAAGTATTATTAACGTTTTCATAAAAGGAAGATAATGTACAGTTTTTAAGCATGAGAACTTTGTGATAGGTATGCTAATTATAATAACGTAATATGTTGTTTAAAAAGTAAATGTGCAGTGTTTCATAAAAAAATAAATATAAAAAATAACAACAATGTTTATGGTTGATGTTGAGCAAAAATGCAACGCTGTTTTGTGAGTTCTATATTTAAAATATCAAATGACCAATTTATTTTTATAACGAAATTGTTGAAGTTACAACCTGCCAGTATTCCAAAATTAAAATGAGATGTGAATGTTATTCTAATATTATTTCTTTATTTTTAAATAAAATTCATCATAGACTATACAATAACTCTCAATTTTTAATTTTGCTGTGTTATGTTTGTCAACGATTCGAAGCTCAAGTCTCAAACAAACATAGTTTGGAGAACACGTCAAGTGTTCAAATTCTCAATGAAACTTGGTGTTTACTTACAAACAAGTCTTCGCGTAATATAAAGTACGATGCGAAGTAAGACACTGGGTATAAAGTTCATTATCAAAAATTAATTCGAGTATGCTCGTACTTCCTCGTACCTAATATTAATGGGTTTTATAAATTTTTAAGCAAAACTCCGTCCAATTTTCCCGGTGCTTCCACACTCCTCATTGATTTTTAAAGAAGTATTTATAATTGAAGGTTAAAGGAAAAATATTTGCACGTGTTTCCAAGGATTCATTAATAATAAATTAGATCATTAATTTTAATAATGCTCCGCAGACAGTGTAGGGTTTCATATATTTCTAAAAATAGTTGTTGAAAAAACAAATCATTACAATTATCATTATTCAAATATTAAATGTAAACCTCGTTGAAATGAGCTCGCGAATAAAAATAACAAATTAGAATGGTATCTTATTTTAGAACTGTAATAAAAAAAAGATAAGCTCATGTTTTTTATGTCAATTGGCTGTGTAGCTAGTTTCCGTTGCATTGTGTTAATAACATTAAAAAAAAACAACATTTAGCGCGAACTCCTTTATACAGCTGTCAAATTATATTACTATTAAAAATACGAAATTATAATAACTTGTCTTTCATCTGAGTTAGATTAAATGGGCAAACGCCATCTTAAAAATTGTTAGAAATTCAGTTTTGTTTTATTCATACCCTTCATTGGTACGTATTAATGTTTATCCATATTACCACATGAATTACCACATCTGACCCTTTAATACTACTTAGAATATACTGTAATATTGTATATAAAATATGAATATTATTGTTGCAGTACCGCCACATCAGCTGATACTATATGATAAGTCCGGGAGGGACGTGTCCGGAGTCGTGGGACCTCTGGAAGAGGGCAACGAACTCGTCCTCGTCTGTGAGGTCAGAGGAGGTAAGATTATTTAATTATTTTCTTATACATATAGGGGTTTGAGGTAAACTAATTTTTAAGGTAAAATAAACTATGTGTTCAAAACCGTATTTTACAATTATTATTATACCAAGCAATGTCTTCGCTCATCAACTGTCCGCCATACTCTCTCTTAATCTCAAACATACATTTTCATTCCGTTCGTTCGGATTCATTCACACAACATCTTATATTACTCACCAAATATTCGGATACACACCTATTGTAGGATCATACAAAACTCAATACTCTTATAATATTATTCGTCGGCGTGGAATAGTGACTTTGTATAGTTCTTCACAGCTCCTCTCCCGTACGTGATAGCGTGATAATAGCCTATATGTTGACCTGGTCTGTTTGTAATATTCATGCAGAATTTGAAGTAAATCTATGCAGTAGGTACTTTTTGAGTTTAGCCCGGACATACATACAGACAAATAGACAAAGATTCTAAAAACTGTATTTTTGCTTTGGTATCTATTGTGATCACGTCCTAAGTATTCTTTGAAAAAAATATTCAATGTACACTTTTGACGTTTCTACGATTTTATTACATGTATATAGAAAAGTTAAAATGACAGCTCGTGTATAGAGGTAAAACATTGTCATTGCGGTATGCATTGAGTTCATTGCCAATCACTGGTCATACCATACTAAGAGCTACCTAAATGTTACTTAGAATCAGGATATCCAATACGAAATAATAGGTTAGATGCCTAATTTTTATTTTAATGTCCGTCTGGTAGGTTATTTTAAAACATTAGACACGTATTTTTTATTTTCTTACAGAAATGAATACCTTCGACGATATATTGATTTTAGAGGTAAATGTCGCGTGACGTCACTTCTATGTACATTTTATACGTAGAAATGACGTTTTAGCCCTCACTCCTAAACTTTGATTCGTTTTATCTAAGTATTGTTTTATTATAAGACAAAATAAAAAAATACCTGTCTAATATTTTTTCATTACCTAACTTACGGACTAATTGGATTTTTAATTTTCATACCCTGTCATCATCCCTATTAAGTGATATCAAGAAACATATTTCCGAAGAAGACTCAAACCTTCTAACTGGTTACATATAAGATAACAACTTTTCCTTATATATTATATCTGACAAAGTATCTACAACAAACATAGGCGATAGAAAGACACAATTAAAAAAAATATTTTAAAGACTCCTTGAATGAATGAAAAATATACAAATTAAACATTAATCTGTTATTGATATCCCTCTTGGGACTTCAAAGTATCGACTTTCTAATTTCAATTATTTACAAATCGTAATGGATCACGTTATACGTCATCGTGAAACAAAAAATGTTGAGATACAATACACAACTACATAATTATATTATAATGAAAATAAATTGTGCGTTATTTTAATAGGGTAACCAAGAAATAGGTCAGTAGTGGCTTCGTTAATGTTTTTCTAATTTATTATGGTGCTAACATTATTTTCTTGTATGGATACTTTTTGCTTGTAAGAAATACAGAGCATTATTTAACATTACAAGGCAATGTCTTTTATTAGTGAACAGGTTATTCGAGTGGTAATAGCGTGACTGTCAATCTCTTGATTGCTGACTTAGGTTTGATTATTTTGCCTAACTCTCTGAAAAACAAACAGCTAAGTTTATAATCAACAAATAATTATTGTCAAGGCCTTAAAAATACGTATAACGAACTAACAAACTATACAATAACTATTTTAAAAACTACGTTTAAAAAATCGTCTTCTGTCGCCTTTTTTGGCAGTCAGTTAATCAATATACTGAATCCTCCTTAGTGTAACAAATACATTTCTAAAAAAAAACTGCATCAAAATCGATTCGGCCAATCGCGCGATAATCGATAATAAAATAATGTATGTACAGTTTAAACTGAAAACCTCCATATTTTTTTAAGCCGGTTAAAATCACATTTACGGTTAAAGCTAAAATACAAATCTGTACCTCCATTTTGCATTATCATTTTATCTGCCGTCCTTTAGTTGACCTTACGTAAGCTAGCCTCACCGTATCACTACATGGTACGCTTCGTATACAGGCCGTCTAACCTTTATGTCCACTCTCTATGGTCTATTTTCCCGGTCCTTACATAGCTTTCAGCATTAAGAACTATCTCGTTCACCCAGACCTTGACTAGAGATTTCGTCTGGACGCGTGTGTCACGCAAAAAGTATAAAAGTTCTCGAATTGTATGTATGTGACTTCTTTTTAATTCCTTTTTTGTACGTAACTTATTTTGTTGTTAGATTTGTAGATGTTACGCGGTACTGTAATGTATACGTGTTACGTCTGTGCGTAATTTTTTTTAAACTTTGCCCCACACTAGTACTTTCTCCTGTGTTGTGGGTGCGTTTACAAACATACAAGTTCACATACACATGACACGCAGACCACAAACAACAATTTGTAGATCACACAAAGTGTGCCGCCAAATCATATGCGTCGTAATTTATTTAAGTTCATTTACGATGCAATAGCTGTTAATATCTATTTTTATGGGATAAGCCGGTAAACGATCATACGGATCCCTTCATGGTAAACAATCGGCGCCGCCCATGGACGCCTAAAACAATAGAGGCGTTACAAGTGCGTTACTGGCCATTTGGGAATTAGGTATTTGAGGATTGTGGGGATTCAGGGATTCGGGGATTGGGGAGACTAGGGAGGGGGGGGGGGAGTTGGGCCTCCGTAACCTCACTCAAACAAAAGAATACAACGTAAGCGTTGTTTCACGTCGGTTTTCTGTAAAGCCGTGGTATCGCTCTGGTCGAGCCGGCCCATTCGTGCCGAAGCATAGCTCTCCCACACTTAAAAGTTTCAAAGAGTGAAATGTAGATTTACTACCTTTATGAACTTCGGGAAAACAAACGATAGCCCATGTTATGTTCAAACTAAACTTACGTAATGATCCTCCGACCCGTACGCAAGGGAATCTAAAACAAGACAAGTAAACATCCCCTATAAATATCTGTTAAACATGATGTAAACCACACCGCCGTACTATCACAAACATAAAACTATCAAAGTAAGTACATGTTCACAAATCACGGCAGTATCAGTCAAGGAATAAGCATAAGTTCTACCCCAAGTGGTAGATGAGAAATTAAAGCGATTACTTTGATATATCGCTGTTAAACTTACCGATAAGTCACTCTCGGAGAGATCGGCTCCAAATGGCACTCGGTGTAAAGTTATCCATCGCCTCAAGATACGCCAGGGGCGGGGGGAGATCGGGCACGAAATGGCGCCAAAACATTTTGCAAACTTTATATCAATTATCTTTGTAGCAATCTACGAACCCTTATTATATTGAGCCTATTTTAATGGATTAATTAGCGTTGATTTAATTTTGTTGTCATTATAATGTTTTTGCGAATAGGTTTTTGTTCTTCAAAGTTAAATTAAAGTAGGTAAAACAACGAATTCTTATGTAACACATAATTTCATGTCATTATTTAATTTTGTAACAGAAATACAACATCTTTAATGTTGACAACTATTTCAGCAAAAAGTAATATTCAGATATGAAAAATAAGATTAAGAAATATATTAGTATTTTTGTTATTTTATGTTATATTAAATTTAAATAATGAAACAGTATTTTTCTCCTAAATGAAATCATAAAGAACAAAAATCAGCCACATAAAGAAACATTCCTTTGTTGGGCTGACGCTACCTTACACTTAGCTTCATTTTATTATTCGTATAAAAAGAGAAAAGGACGAGACAGTACTTAGATAAATAAGTATAAAACACAAAAGGAACTTAGCCAATTGAAAGTGGCCTTTACTGCTACGGCACTAAAGACACACATGTCGATACTGACTTATTCATTTGATTGATTACAGAGTATACTTGTATGTATGTAGGTATGGAAAAAAGTCGCTTGATCAAGTTAATATTTCGACTGGCCTTATGTCCAACAATACCTGACCGTTTCATATGAAATACTTAATGCATCTGGACCAAAGAGTATAATATCTGTACAAATTAAAAAAGTGCGTAGATAAAAAATATTCATAAAGAATTACTACGGCTACGTTTTTTTTTAATCTCCTCCGCCATGTATAAATCGTGAATAGTGCAAGGAGTTCAAAATAGAACAACAAACTTTTTGAATAGTTAGTGTTTTTTTTTACATAATTTAATTACGATTATTTAATATACCACGATGGTGCACTCTATGACGTAACTCGAGAATTATTATACTCTAACGAAAAAAACCCAGTTAATCTCTAAAATAATTGAATCTCTTACTTCGAAGTATTTAACTATGAAACTATAAATATTTACTTACCAAGTTAAATCCTTGGCTGATCCCACAGACAAACCCTTTGTTGTTTTGTTTGCTATGAATTTAATTGTTTTATCCCCGATCAATAGATTTGAAAATCCATACAAAATAACTCACTGTTTTATGCCCCAGCCATTTTGTACCAACTTAAAGTCGATACTAAAACCCGATTATATTACATGAATGTCGATATTAGACAAGGAGATCTTACAATCTCTAATTTGGGAATTCTTTTTAATTGATTCTGCATGCTTAGTAAGATACCTATAGTCAAGTAAGGATTCTTAACTGGCGACTACCGTAGATGATCTCAAGCCCACCGCAGTCTAAGGGACCTACATAATAAAAATGTTCACACATCTTTAATATATCCCTTTACCCACAGATTAACCTCAAATAGCATAACTTCGACTTGGTTATTACTTATGTCGACCTCATCGTTCGCTTGACAAAATTGACGGGTAAAAGTGGTGTCTTGTAGCCTATTTGCAGAAATAAATTCACTTGTTTCACTCAGTAGGTATCCGTAATGATAGCCTTAAACCCCTAATCACATTTAAAAGCTATTCTTAGCTTCAATAAATCTTAGTACTTAGTTATATTAAGTAAATTGATTGATTGATGGCTTTCTGATATTTACAATTTATTACTTTGTTACTAAAATATTAGGAGATGTTCAATCATAATCATTTTAGCGTTTAAACAAAAACAATATTGAGATATTTATAAGAAAAATAGCGAAGAAAATAATAAATCTTAAATTGATGTTTACATTCGATTTATCTTGTGTACATTATGATATTAGGGACAGAACTTAAGCATATTGGTAATAAAAGTTTAGAATTCATAAACCGTAGTAAGCAAATAAGTTTTTTAATAAGTTTCATCAACATGTTATCAAAATACAATTCGCAGTTGAAAATTATCTTACATAAATCGCAGCTAATCCTGTGAAGCGCCTAATGTTTCGAGACGGAATTATGCATAGCCCTTGGGATTAGCGGGTTGTCATCCCATGTCGGCCCAAAACGACTCTGCTAGATCATTTTCATGGTCGAATGTGCGAACAAATAGATAAGCGCACAAAATGGCCGCCGTAATGGAGTTTTGTTATTACTTTGCCTTTTATTACGATTATATAGTATACCTGAATATGTTTTTCTTTTCAAGAATAGACAAACGGTATATACCAACGTTTTAGATAAGTATTATTGTTGAATTTTACTATCTAACTTTTAGCCATACAAGCTTTTTACTACTTATTTGTACAAAAGATTCACATTTTATTTAATTTTTTTTTGGATCCTATACAATCCTGTAGGGTAATAATATTGATTCTAGAGAAATAAATCCTTAAATTAATATAAAATGCCTACCTTGCGGAAACAAAACCAGTCGTTTTTATCGGTCGAGTAAAAAGTTTTATCATAACATTTACGGCACTGAGAAAAGAAAGGAGACCATAAAACAGGGGAGATACTAAATTCAGAGGTCTAATTTCGATTGGCTGACTGTAATGCCAGGGGTTTTAGAGAACAAACACATGTATGTACTTGCATTACTTATATCTATAACGTACTGTTTCCGACATAAGCATACAGCCACATTATTACAAAGATGTTCGTATCTGTTTAAAAACTCTATATCCAAGCAATCATTATTATTGTTATTGTTTTTGACAAAAAATCTATCAGTTGTAAAAGATTAAATACACTTTTGGCAACTGGATCGAAACCCGCCTAAAGCCAGGGACGAGGCTCTATCCCAAAAATAAAATCAATATAAGTTTCACCGTTTAATTTAGCTACACAGTAATAAAGCCTTGGAATCTCATTGTGCTCTTTTGTTCGCGTACCCCTATTACCACAATACCTTAGTTCTACCGTCAGTACATCTCAATGTGCCTTTAGCGAAGGGTCTGGCCAAGAAGTTCAGGAACAAGTAAGTTTGGAAATAAGTGACGTGGAATGATCAATAGGGCGGGGGTCGGTCGGCCGCCACGATAACGTAATTACTGCCAAAGCCTCGCCCCACGACAGACGCCTTTACATTGTTTCTGGCCCATAATCTATTGGGCTTTTTATGGGTTATTTTTCTTTTGTGGGGTGAACTACGAAGGGAGAGCAAAAGAGTTGTCCATAGCAATCGGACTTGTTCTTGCTTCTTTTTCATTATCCTTCACAAGTCAGATACAATAAAAACTCTGTTTATGAAACTTTTAGCAAAAACAAAAAAATGCTACTTCATATTTTAAAAGAGAGAAACATTTCACGGAATACTTTACGTACAATTCTTCTTTATATCCATAAAAGATTTCCGTAAAATATTCTCCAATCGTAGTCAAAAGCGCATTGTTACTGCGCTCATAAAGAAAATACTCCTATTCCAAGAGATAGCTCTCAACAGTTCCACGACTTGTATTTCATGGCGCATTATGATGCATTTTTAACCTTTATAGCTAGACTGCACGCTGTCACATAACATATATTTACGAGTATAACTTTCTAGAGTTAGTGACGTGGAACCTAGGTCTCGTTAAACTTGGTAACTTAGTTCTCACGTGCTGCGAATACCTTGACTGACCTACAGGAGTGTTGACCTGAATGACGTACATTCTGTCTATGTACAATACAACTAAAGATTCTGACGAAACAATTACAAAGTCATCGTTGAATGACGCACTGAAGCTTGAATATCTATACTTTGAATGTTATATTGGTATTGAAGTCTCTCATAATATCAAAGTTCACGTTGGAATAGTAACAAAAGTACCTTTTAGATTTGCCTTTGTTTGAATATATTACTATTAAATTCTACTGTAATTCTGAAGTTTTGAATAGTGCTACCCCGATTCAAAGCCTCATGAATATTATTGCCATAAAGGTAAATAGCTACTGTTGAAAAAAGGTGTACCTAATAGTACTACTAGACTAGACTTCATGATATAAAAGAAAACTGGTTATCTAGAAAAATGTTTTTCGCATTTGGTTTATTTAATCTCAGTTTGTATTGAAGTCGTTTTTAAACAAACACAAACTGACTCGCAGTGAAGTTGTGAAGCGTGGTCCAGTTATTAATAACGGGTCATGAAAAGTAATAGGACGATCAAGAAATATGTCCTCAAGCTATTCTCCGAGGCGCACTGGCAGAACTCCAAAGCTTGCGACACAACTTGCCTTTGCACTGTATGTGCAAGTATATAAACCTCAGCGAGCTGCAGTTTCGTCTGCGTGTGAAGTTTTTTTATTTATTTGGTAGAATTAAATTCATTCTATTAGTTAAATTTTCTTCAAATATTCGTCTATTGTTAATGTCAATCGCGTGAAGTACTTTGATTTATCACGATATAATCGTAATCTATTACATTAGACTTGATGTTAAAGACGATAAATCATTATATAATAAATAAAAACGGGATATTTATGATAATCTTATTAACCCGTCGTGTGCCGGAACGTAGATCTACGCAAGATACTATGCATTTTCTATTGTGTCCTATATACGCCGAGTCAAGAGGTTAAGCAAAAAATACTCAGTAACGTTCATTTACTATTCCATATACTCAATTAGCACCTTTTTCCAACAGGTCGTCCAGCACCCACAGTGATGTGGCTGATAGACGGTACTCCAGCACCTCAATACATTGGTGAGAAGACTGACACGCATGTGGTAGTGAACCGGTTAGAACTGCCCCATGTGAGGCGGACCCATCTGAACACCACCTTCAGGTGTCGCGCCTCTAACACAAACCTCGTCAGCCCGCAGGAGAAGACTGTTAGATTAGAGATGAACTGTAAGTACCAATTAAATAATTACACATAACATAACATCATGCCTTTTAACCCAGAAGGGGCGGAGGTGCATATTACGGCACCCAATGCCACTGTACAATATAACAATCTTTTTTTTAATTATGAGTCCCATGTAATAGCGCATGTATGAGCCAATTGCCATATACCAGGCACATTTCCAGACTCCATGCTACAACTGAGATTTAAAAAAAAAACCAATAATACCTTGCCTGACCCTGGAATTGAACCCCGAAGGCCAATGAGATAGTAAATAATTACTTTCTCTAATAATACTTATTGTGTCACTCTCTTTATAGTGAAGATTGCATTCTGTCGTCTCATATAGAAACTTGATTGAATTTTGTTTTATGAGATGGCAATGATGCTGTTCAATCACTGACTAAAATTGACTTACTTGAAGAATTAACAGAAAAATAACTGTTCAGATACAGTATTTCATACTTTATAATCAATGTAATCAAGAAAATCGTTTTGATTTCTTTGTTGCTTTGCTACTGTTATGCCTAGGAACGCTAATTATTTCCAACTAAATACTATATTCATAAAAACAACAATTTTTGGTACATATCAAACCATTAACAGGACTTCTAATGAATAATAAAACACAAGTCACTTTAGATAATTAAAGACAGAAGCAAAGTTACAGAAATATAATTACTTAATCATGAAAATTGTAGCCGATATTAATGAATATCATGCTGGACAAACAGTGTTGTTGTCAAAGCTTAATATTAATATTATAAGGTGGTCACTACATACTTGCATGGAAATATGAAATGTTACGACCGCAGAAAATAGTGTATACCTACTTGCACTGACTATCCACAGGGACCACAGTTTATAAAGTTATGATATACTGTGGTCAACACATCGACCACAGACCATTAAAATTTTACATGTTCAGTTTTATGGAGCAAGAGTCGGGGACGAAAAAATTCAACATTTTATTACGAAAATGCTTACTTTGTTTAGCCGTGCGTGTGGTCGCTGTTATTAAGTATCGTACAAACTTATCATGGAGGTTTTTGTGTCATTATAAAATAGAAGGACTAGACTAGTTTGTTTTTAATTATCTGTGCCAGACTTTGCCTCATGTTTTATAAAAATAAGTTTGTGAATAGGTCATAATGTTTGTTGTCTGGATAATTACATAGTTTTTCGTAAAAGAGATTAATAAATGTTTCAAGTATTAAATGAAGTTATGTGCTTTTTATGTAAAGTCCGTTTAATATTGTTACCCAACAACAACCTGAAATTAACTTAATTTCACAACAGTTCACTGGAAATCGGCGACAAGTAGCAATTAAACCCGAATCGAATTGAGAGTTCAAATAACACTTCCGTGAACACAAATTACCGTACGATTTCAACATTTCCTATTTATTATTTTAACACGAATTTCAAAGGAACTCCGTAGGCATTGGAAATGGTGAAGTAGGTATCTATCGTGTTTTCATTCGCACAAACATGCGGTGATTTACTATAAACCTGAACTGCTATTTTCCACAACAGACTTGAAAAAATGCAATTCACGTAACTGTGTTGTTATCTCCAAAACAAACATTCCATCAAATATAAACCACAAATTGCAAATCTCCAACAACTTTTATCCGTAAACCGTGTTCAACTAAAATACTAAATTCAAAATTTCAACCGAAAATGTCCCTAACATAGTATCTCCGAGTAAAAAAGTCGACCTCGTACATTTTATATTTTTATTTGTAACTGTGAATAATTTTCGCAGTGCGGCCGACACTGGTGGAGATTTTAAGTAAACCGGTAACGTTATCGTCGGAACGGTACGTCACTCTGACGTGCGTGTCGGAGGGCAGCCGGCCGCCGGCGCAACTCACCTGGTACAAGGATAACAGAAAATTTAAAAGGGGAAAGGTAAGCACAAATTTGGAAAGGTTATATTTTTACGTGACATTCATTTTCATGTTTTGCAAAGCGTACTCCAATGATAATTGCTTATCGTAAATCAATTAAGTTTTCCAGTAACTACGTAATAGATAGGTGTGTTCCACGTGTAACTGAAAAATTGGGTCGAATATTTTAGAGGTGGTGCTATTTTTAAGCTAAGTTAGGATTTAATTTTGTAAATGGAATTTGTGGTAATATGGATTAAAATGCAACTACACATATTTTTGTCTATAGTTCTGTTCTGGTAATGGGTTACAGTCCTGTTGGACCATGGGTCGTGGTCAACTGGGTTCAATTTTGCAAATATTGATAATATTTGCAAAATCCCAAGACGTTAAGATTCCATTGACGCTAATACTTGCAATTGTTCATTTGGTGTTTCCTTGTACTTTATCATTTTTTTTTTAGAATTGATGCCAAACAGTTCTTCTTCGTACCATTATTTTAGTCAAAGAAATGGGTAGCGCACCTTCATAAACAAGTCCGAACAATACCTATTCTAAAAGTTATTCGAGTTGTCAGAACTCCGGGTTTCAACAACCTGTAACGACTGTCGTCGATGTTCGTGACAACTGAGACTGATGGCTCAACATGCTATTCAAGGCACGGAAGAGTCACGACATATTAGGCAATATTTCTATGAAGCTTCTATTCTAAGAACGATCGATTCATACAGCTGAGTACTGAGCGCGAGTTATTTTAAACCAACTTCAAAATAAAGGAGATTCTCAGTTTAACCAGTTAGTACTAACCCCAACTATATTATAACTAACCCAATATGGACCAACTAGTCTGAAATAAATGATTTATTATTATACCTCTATATTATTATTACTCGTAGAACAAGATTTCAGAATATTAATTAGTCGACTTCAAAAAAAGAGGGAGATGAAATCAATTTTTAAACGTACTTCAAAAAATATATTACTTTAACTGTACCACGTTTAGCCCTCTGATTGGTTGATTAACTTCTGTTTGGTTAAGCAGCCAATCAGAACGCCGAACGCCACGAGTCGATTGCGTTAACATAAAACAAACTTGCATTAGGTAGGTACTCTGGTGTTTAAGCACAGAATTCTCTAGAATGTATTAATATTCACAGAAATAGCTGTACTGTCTTAGAACTTGTTAGGGGTAACAAAGTTAAACCGAGCGTGTTGTTTTGTAATCATTTAAAAGGAAATAGATACATACATAATATAGTATGTTTCATGGACTTAGACAAAGCAGTAACCGTAAATACCATTATAGTTATATTAGACGATACGGATACTTGGGATTTGATAGATAAAGAAAGAACATAATATCACGTCTTCTCTCCCCGAAGGGGTAGGCAGAGGTGCACACAGAAGTAACACCCACTTTTCACTATTTATGTTATGAGTCCCATGTAATAAGGGGGTGAGCCTATTGCCATATACCGGGCACATTTCCAGACTCCGTGCTACTGCTGAGATTTTTTTAAACCCAGTTATACGTTGCCCGACCCGAGAATCGAACCCGAGACCCCTTGCCCGGCAGTCGCACTTGCGCCCATCGGCCAACGAGGCAGTCGATAATAAAGTCGGCAATAAAGAAAGAACTAAAAACAAAATATTATCACGTCATCTTGAAATTTCTTATAAAATATATTGAATTTTGTTCCTAGATAATAGAAGCCATGAACGAGACGTGGGTGAGCAGTCAGGTCCAGTTCATGCCTCTGCCAGAAGACGACGGCGTTCAGCTCAAATGTCAAGCTGACAACAACGCATTGCCTGGACAGAGTCTCGAAGACTCGTTTAAGCTTGATGTTGTCTGTAAGTATTAATTGAATATTTTACAAATTAACTACTCTTTTTTCTTCTTTCGAATATGGTTATTGCAGAATAGAATAAAATAGAATCATTTGTTTGCATTGTCTTTGTGTTCGTAATTTTTTTATACCATAACTGCACGGTTGGTGCGGTGGCTGGGAAACCGGCTGCCGTGCAACGTGTCGCGGGTTCGATTCCCGCACGGAACAACACTTTGTGTGATCCACAAATTGTTGTTTCGGGTCTGGGTGTCATTGTGTATGTGAACTTGTATGTTTGTAAACGAACCCACGACACAGGAGAAAAATCCTAGTGTGGGGCAACGTTTTTAAAAAAAAAAAATACCACGACGGTGGTAGCTAAAAGAGCACTCGGCTCATCTGATGGTAAGCGGTTACCGTGGCCGATATACGCTTGCTACACGTAGGGCCTAGGGCATTTACATTCGTGTTCGAATTATGGCCATCACAAGAGTAATTTTTATCGAACCTTATTTTTTAACGTCTACGATTTTGTATTTAATGACCAATGGTGCACTTATGTTACTATATAATCATGTGAAATATAATCTTGTCTGCCAGTCCTTTACGAGTAATTAACCGTATCTTGTAAAACTGTCTTGGATTATCTAAGGCAGTGAAATATAATACGATATACAATGTTAAATATTCTCATCTATGACAATCCGTTGATATTTTGAAAACACTCTCCATTAATATCTACGAGAAATCAAGCACTACACAGACCACAAAAAACTAGTATTTTCGCTACAATCCAAACTTATAGAAGCGTGTGACCGCGTGAGAAATGTATTCTCTTTTACTGTCTCATCATATAGCATCCTTAATACACAAGCCTGATGGAGGGATTTCATAGCAAATGACACATTTTCCTGTCCATTTTCGTTCCACGCGTTTTGCCGCACCAATCCCTTAATCCGGCTCTGGCCTCTATGATACACATTATGTGATATTACGTACGCTACGACATTTTCATAAATCAATTATATTAATTTACAGTCGTATCTGGGTGAATGGATTTTGTTCTCATCGTTACTAGCACTGGTTACTAGTGTTGTGGGGCTAAACATTATAGTTTGTTGGGTTTGAAGAAAGCATTATACTTTACTGTATTCAATTTCACATCTGTCAAACGCAGTGTCCAATTATTTGTCGATGGCCGACACCACTAAGTGTAATTATATTTTTGCTACTTGAAATCGCTTGCACTTTAAGTATTACAATATGAATTACTCAAAATTCTACGCAATTATTACTTAGAAAAACATAAAAAACCTACTTACCTGTCTACCATACGTTCTGAAATTCCGATTGTTTGTGAAATAAAGTCATTTATGTGAATTTTTGCTGCAAAACTTGTCGTTTCTGATAGTGCTATCCGTTTATTTGCGAGTGTCGAGCCAAGTTTTTATTTGTTTCTATATTCCTTTTATTTTAACGTTCAACGTCGAGAAGTTCACAATATTCACATACGGTGGGGAAACTTCGCCAGTTTTGTAAGAACCCACTTTATAGGGATGAAAGAATGGCAATGTTTAAACACAAAGGAAATAGTCTTAACATATGGAATGTGTTGTAATTCTTTGCATAAATCCACATTTTCCTTTGCAAAGATGAAAATATGGATAGTGCATAACTTAGAATATGTTTAGATATTTTGTGCAGTACACTTGCTGATCTAGTCGTTGCGAATAACAGATGAGCTAGATTGTAGCTTCTAAAGAATTTCTACACATATTTTTTTTAAGTTGAACAAAATAAACTTAATTGTGATCACTAATTAACATACGTGGATGAGATAGACGAGATGGGCTTCTACAATATCGTGTGGTTAGAAGTGACGCAATTGGAACTTTAATGATTTTTTTACTTGGAATCATACCTCAGACGATTGCGATATGTCTAAACAAAAGTAGTTACACTATAGGCATAAAATCTGTTTGCCATTGCTCGGGTTAATTCTTAGGTATTTTTTTTTTTATAATAATTTTTTATTCATGTACCAACATCTAAATACATCAAGCTCTGTCTCCTGAACTAGGCATTGCCTGTATCTCAGGAGACAGTTATATGTTTTACACTTACAAATTTCCATATTCCTTTTCTCTTTCTTTTTATTTTTTTTATGTCGCAAATCTACCTGATGCATGTTCACTTCCTTACCGGTACCAATTACTTTTACTTCTTAATTTGTTAAACTCATTGTCTAAATGAATATGGCTGGAAAATATGCTATAAAGGAGCTCCGTATAACCAGTTTGCACATATCCAGCGTCGTTGCGTTTAATTATTATTGCTACTTAAGCATTTGCTTGGCGTAATGATACGTGTGCTATCAAATCTGAACATATTGTTCTTGTTAGCTTCTGTAGAAGAAAACAGATTCGTGAGTGAAGTGAAGTATGTTTTGCCAGTTATATTTATTTATTTATGTATTTATGGCATAATCCGGTAAACGAGCAAACGGATCACCTGATGGTAAGGAATCGCCATTGCCCATGGACACCTGGAACACCAAAGCGTTACAAGTGCGTTACTGGCCTTTTGGGAATTAGGAATTTGAGGATTGCGGAGGATTCGGGATTCGGAAGACTGGGGAGGGGGTAATTGGGCCTCCGGTTACCTAACTCTCACGACGAAACACAACGCAACGTTATTTCACGTCGTTATAGAATATTGTTCTTGTTCCCTCTATAAAACAAAACGATTACAAAACATCTGACTGCCTTGATGACTGCACCATTGGTTGATTAGTCATAAATGAAACTGGACAAACAAACAAGACCAACCACTAAGGGTAGGAAAAAATAGGATATTTTCGGTTTTCCCAAAATTATCCAGTAATTTATATTAATATAGAATTTTCCAGAATATGTGTGTGCTGTTCCAGATTGTGTGCTGTGATAATCTGAAATCCAGCTCGATGCATGATAGTAAGCTAAATATTACTCATCTACATATATACCTAAGACAGTTGTTTTACCAATTCTGAAGTCTGCTACTAATGAAAATCTTTTATCGATCCTTGCGATAGTTACTTCTATCTAGAAGTAACTATCGCAAGGAATCGAATCGAATTGAAACGAATCTTTAGGGAACAGAGAGTAATGTTCCCTAAGATCGGAAAAGGAGGATCCTCCGACCAGGCGAGGTGTTCGTGCCTGGCGATTGGGATTTTTGTGACGTCATCCGTTGACATGTAACATGTGTCGCCACAAATCTAAATCTATTAGGCTGGTTGTAGTGTCGCGCTGACCGCGTGCTGTGCTGACCGTTAGCGCTGTCAGCTGAGATGTAGTAACTACTAGGTAGCGTTTTTTCATGACGCGTGGCTATCAGCGCGCACGGCTCCCAGAAATTCACATTTCGCAGCTGTCAGCGCCGACGGTCAGCGTGGGGTCAGCGCGACACTGAAACCAGCCTTAACAACATTGAGAAATCTAGCAAAGGCCTCAAAATTACATTATTTTCTTACAGTTATGAAGTCAAACGGCAAAGTGAAATCATTGAAGCGTTGTTTCACTCGCAAAAGTTTACCTCAACCAAAGTTTGACGCTTTGGAATTAGGATAAATTTTGCTAATTAGAATTGGTTTGTTAATTTTAAGTTTCTGTAATTTTATAAGTAATTTTTTAATGTTTTTATAATAACCATTGTGAGACATGCTAAATTAACTAAAATCGCGGGCTACTCGCGTGAATATACTGAGAAAACCTCTACTACTACTGCTCATGAGTAAAAGAACCCCTCTGTGGTTCGAAACTAGTAGAGCTTTTTTCAGTATATTCACGTGAGTAACCCGCGATTTTAATTAATTTTTCAATGTTATATATTTATCTATATAATTATATAAAAAAATTAGATTTGGCTGATTTTTTTTTTTGATTTTTTTTTATTGTGATGAGAAGGTTTTTAAAACAGAAAATATCCTGAAAATTCTACGGCAACGGGAGAAAACAATATTGCGCGTACGAAGTCGCAGGCAGAAGCTAGTAGCTTATAAATCTCTCAATCACCACTACGCCAATTTTACACTGTTGAAGTTAGTGTTGAAGTTAGTGCTTCGGCACTAATAGCCCGGCTCGACCGGAGTGATACCACGGCCTCACAGAAAACCGACATGAAGCAACGCTTGCGTTGTGTTTCGTCATATGATTGAGGTTACCGGAGACCTAATTGTCCCTCTTGCCCAGTCTCCCCAATCGCTGAATCCTCCACGATCCTCAAATTCCCAATTTCCAAATGACTGGTAACACACTTGTATCGCCTTGGTGTTTCAGGTGTCCATGGGCGACGCCGGTTGCTTACCATCAGGTGATCCGTCTGCTCGTTTACAGCTTATGCCATAAAAAAAACAGTTAGAGATAACCATTAAAATCGTTATCGTATACATGAAGGTACCTAACTTCACTCATTGAGGTGGTTATGTTTGTATAGTAACGAAACTAAAGATAATAGAAATTCCGCCACCTTATACTTAATTTCAAGCCTAAATCTTATATCGTAAAGCTCTCCTTAAGACCCTTAAGTAACGTTTAAATAAAGTAATTAAGTACTAACAACGTTTACAGAAATAACAATTTAATGATCAGACTTATATTTTTTATCTTCTTAAATCTAACCGTCGCGTCGCGTCGGCCCCTAATCTCGAGTTTTATAATAGAGCTATAAACCAACGCAATGAATAGAAATCTCGACTAAAACACAACGGGAAAATGTTTAGGAAAACGCGACGCCCATTAAAAACTACCCCAGTTTACTTACGTAAGTAAAGTAAAACAGATTTGTTACTTACGACGTTAAATCGTGTTCGTGTAACGTTTCTTTGTACATTTGTATGTACGTACATCCTTAATGTAATGTCCTTATCTTGGTAGTTATCAGACGCGTCGGTTACCGGGAGCCGTGAGCCGGCGTGACACTACAAAGCCCGCGGCCAGCTCGGGGACTTGGCGATGCGATGCGTCCCCGGCGGAACTTCACTCACTGACAGTTTATCCTGCGCTTCCAACTTGTTGGGAACTAATTCCGTCTAATTTAGACTGCGGCAGGCGGACTCACAAACGCATGGCTTACCCGACACCGTAGACTCGACAGCGACACCTTCCTGTCTGAAGGATTAATTTTGCTTTGCCGTTCTGCTTACAGTTGACATGCCGTGTTTAGCCTCTACATCGATATAACATCGCCCGCCTTGTCCTTGTGGTATTACACAAGGTACTAGACGCTCCACCGTAATGGATTATGAATTGATGAGGGTCGGAAATACCAACAGTAAATAATTAAGTGTATCTGTTTCGTCTGCTTATGAAAGCCCTTATTCTCAAAGCTCAGCTCACGCTCAAAACATAAACGTTATTTAATTAACAACCCTAATTAGCAACAGCCCGAAATATATCTATTTAAACGGTCCCTGCGCGTAATATAGTCAACTCATTTAACACGTAACAGGCCCTGTCAACATTTCGGAACAAACAACCTATCTAACAATATTAAAAGCTTGTATGCGCCAACATGAGAAACTCAGTAAAACGTAATTAAAACCTTGTTAGCGCCGGCGAGCACACAACATCAACACTTAACATCCGCTGAGGACTCGCCAAAAACTAATTCGGACTAGTGGGAACGACCAACCCCGCCCCACCACAGGATCCGGATCGCAAAACGCTCTAAGGGATTAAGCCGGCTTAACGTAGCCACTGCGTTTACATTCTAATAGTAGAACATAACTTGTCAATTCGTTTATGCGTAAACGGGTCGTATGAAGCCAGCGGGTGGTCACACAACCGTAACATTTTTGTTAACCCCCGCGGACAATCTGATCACTCAATTAAGACACTAATTCCTCAACGGGCCGGTCAAATCTTGAAAAGCCAGGAAACGTGCTGACTCTATTACGACAGAGGAAATTAATTTCCAAATATAAATAAATTCTATTTACTTCTGCTCGGCGAACCGTAACGCATTTAGAGCGGGGAGAATTCGCCGCTCACGGCGTGAATCGTTTTGGCAACAATTTAAACGGAGGAATCGTAAATGTTTATTTGGAGAACGGGCGTTTCCTCCGGCCGCGGGGCGACGTCGTTATAGGTCTTTAATGGCCAATAAAGTGTCAACGCCCGCTCCTTGCCTCAGATAAGTGTTCACCTGGAGTAAAAACGCTTCCCGAAGAGACAGCTCGGAAATAGACCGACAATAATGGCCAACCTTTGTCCTGGCCATATAAAAATAAAAATTACTTCGTTGTAAAAACAATACAATTTAACAAAATAACGCAAAGCTTTGAAGTTGTTGTTATTAAAGTAACTTTACTAAACAGGTAAATCCTTTTTGTTGTCATATCTTTGACTCCGTTAATTGGGATGAGAAGTTACTTTCAAAGACGTCTAAGAAATACTTTATCGCTTGAATATGATAAATCGTTCATACTTTAAGTAAAATGTTTCATTTCCCGTTTTCATTATTCTACTTTTGAATCAAGTTAGTAAAGAGGTCGCTTGATATTGCGTACTTTGTTAGGAATGTTTACACTACGGTTAGGTACGTTACCTAAGCCGCGATTACAGAGTAACCCGCAGATACTCGGTGACAACAATCACAACATGATTTAGTACTTAGGCACTATCCGCGAATATTATTTCTATCTGTTTACATGTAGTGTAAATCCTTTGTATGTCCATCTATATTTGGTGTAATCCTACCAATTAGTGTTGTGAAATGACAATAGGAATTAGATTTGCGGGTCGTAATTTAAAGGTCAAATTACTATCGCTTCACATGTAATGCCTAGAACAATCAGCTCATATATTATTTAAGAAAGGAGTTGCTAATCACCTAAACTTTCGTAAGTGCCTTTGGCTTTCAAATAAATCAATATTTGTATGGCACATAGCAACGTACTGTATGAAAAGTGATGTATTCAGGCATCGCTCTTTAGCTCCTTCGTTAGTATAGAGGTTCCAAAAATATGCTATAAATATTCTCTATGGACCTTTTCTAAGAGTGCCTGTGAAAAAGATTTTTAGGTCAAAAATGAAAAGATAGGAAAGCTTAGATGTAAGATACACAAAAAAGTATGTGAGTCCCACACTAATCCTGATGATAAATATAAATATAATATTTTTTTATACTTCTTCAAATCCATTAAAATTACTTACCTGATATTGTTAAATTTTGGTACATTTAAGTATGGCAGAGCCATGCTTCGGGACGAATAGGCCGGCTTGACCGGAGAGATACATCGGCGTCACAGAAAACCGACGTGAATCAACACTTGCGTTGTGTTTCATGGTGTGAGTGCCCCCCTCCCCCCAAACCCTTAATCCCTGAATATCCAGCAATTCTCAAATTCCTAATTCCCAAAAAGCTGGTAATATATTTGCAATGCCTCTAGTGTTCTGAGTGTCCATGAACGAAGCCGATTGCTTACCATCAGGTGATTCCTCTGTTCGTTTACCGGCTTATCTACTAAAAAAAATGTGAACAAAAAATAGTTTGATACAAAACTAAAATGTTCAAAAGAACACAATCACTGAAATTGACTGTCGGAAGGTCGATATATTCATAGGGAGCATATTTTCCTCTATCCTTTTTGGACAAAATCTTGCCTAGTCATCGTTTTATGGGTCGACGATTTCAACCAATGGGTTTTAAGCTTTCCACAGACCAACTTTACGCTTTGGTATTTTTATTTTTTCCTGTCATTTTTCCTTGAAAATCCTTTCATAATAAACCTTGCTTTTATTTGCTTCCATAAGTATGTCTTTTTAGTAATTATCTAGTTAAATTAATTATTTTGATAGATATGTCAAAATAGGGATGATGACAGGGTATGAAAATTAAAAATGTAATTAGTCCGTCAGTTAGGTAATGAAAAAATATTAGACACGTATTTTTTATTTTGTTGTATAATAAAATAATAGGTACTTAGATATAACAAGTCAAAGTTTAGGAGTGGGGGCTAAAACGTCATTTCTACGTATAAAATGTACATAAAAGTGACGTAACGCGACATTTCAAATCAATATATCGTCGAAAAAATATGTGTCTAATGATTTAAAATAATCTACCAGACGGACATTAAAATAAAAATTAGTCATCTACCCATTGTAATATTGTCTTTTCCTACCGCAATTGAAGACAAGCAACTAGTTAATAAACTATAACTTATGTTGATAATTAATTCTTTTTCGAAACCTGTGCAGTGATTTAACAGTGCAAATCTACACCTAATTAAATTGGTATAAAGTTCAATTTTGTTGCAGATCCTCCAGTAGTGTCATTATCATTGGGCAGTACACTCAACCCTCACGACATCAAAGAAGGTGATGATGTCTACTTCGAGTGCTCTGTTCGCGCCAACCCTAGAGAACATAGGATATCGTGGTACCATAATGTAAGTATAGATTTTTTTTTAGTTTCTCATCTGCTTGGGTTTATTTTATGGTGGAACAGCCTAGTGCAGTAACCCTTTCTCAGTATATTTACATGAGTAACTCATGATTTCTTGTTAACTCTACACATTTCCTTAATATCGACCACATTCACAAAACCAAGTATGAAGGTGAAAGTAAAGAGCCTTTGATTCAGTACCTTGAAACAACTTCAATCAATCTCATGATATTCTTAAAATATTCCGTAATCATAAATGTATAATTTCTAAGAAATCCATAAATCATTCTAACTAGACATAATTTTCCAATAAAATCAAAGTCCAATAAACAAAAAGTTAATATTTATTAACTTTCCTTTGAAAACTTTTGCATTACTACGTATTCCTGCAAATATAAATTAATACACGAAGAAAAACTTAAGTTTATTTGGCTTCATTAACAAATATATTTGCTTGGTTGAAATAATCGATATTTTTGTTAACGAGTGGTATAGTAATCATACTTAGCGAATGGATTAATGATCACGGTGTGTTGCTAATAGCTCCCGGGACGACGATCCATCCATTCCACATCAACTCTGTCTTTACGACATATTACTACAGGTGGTACTCATCTATTCTCGTCTGAATCTAAAAAAAACTTAAGGACATTAGTAATAGAGTATATTTTGTCTTTAGTTTATAAGGACTTTATTTCACTGGGACACCATGGCTACGCCGCCAAAGACAGAATGTATGTAGCTCTATGTAGAGTTACTCACCTTGTATCCGCTTATTTGTGCAACCACCTTACACATTTTGTTGGTAGCGGCTACCAGTTGCGCCGCCATGGTGACCCAGTGTAATATAATCCTTACTGGTAGATGATCCACGGTGGTCGCGCCAGCACTAATGACTATATCGCTGTATAGTGAGTTACTCACTCAGTCGCCAGTCCGGCCGCCATGGCGGTTGTACGACAGGTTGCGTCGCCATGGTGCCCCGGTAAAATATTAGTAGCCCTTTACCAAATGAGGTAACGATATGTACTCATGTGTGTCGTTACGAAATACTGTTTTAAAGAAACTGAATCATGCTATATCGGTTAATAAGAGTGCCCACTTGAAAGTACCGAGTATAAATTTACGTTTATTTCTTCACAAAGTGTAAAGTCCTTTAACTAATCAGTTCCAAAAACTATTACCCGAAGCTTTTCATACGTTCGTAATAAAAGAAATTTAACATCGAATCAAAAATGAGATTTTTAAGCAGACTCATTAAAATCCTTCCCCCGTCCCATCGCGATCGGTATTTCATTAAAGGTTCATGAATATTTATTAGAGTAATATTATCACGGCAGTTCGACTTAATAATAAACTTACAATTGATTGATACGGTATGGATACTTGTTAACACAATAAAGTAGGGCCTGACGAATTAGATTAGCGAGAGGAAGGCGACAAGGGTGATGAATTACTGGCTTGACTTGAAGGTCTGTTCATTATCAGACCCCTATTGATTACGTCATCACTCTTTGATATTGATGTAAGCCGTAAGCCTTCCACACTGATTATGATTAAAGATTCATGAGGATATTCGGTATATCCTTATTAAATGCGTGTTCCTTATGAATCTGGTTGATGTTGAATATTGATATTATTGTATATCTATACATATTATATTACGTTTGTTATTCTTGTATACATATATGTATGTTCGCTATTCCACGAAAGTTATGTCAGATCTAATAACTTTACACAGTAGTGTTACTAATCTCTTTAGTTGTAAAAGGGCGCAATCTAATTGTCGTACTCGTACGTGTACACGGGCATATTTTATTATTCTATAAAGTTAGCAGACAGGTCTGTTTATAGATTCCATCTTTTCATTACTTTAGTACTAGCTACCCGCTCCGGCTTCTCACGGGTGCAATGCTTATGTAAATATACCTACTACATAATGTCCTTCTACGCAATATTCACAGCTTTATTGTCATTAGACTGGACAATACTGTAGTATCTCGTAGGGTTCAGCCAGCGTTTGCAATATAAGTGCAAAAAACGTGTTTATTTACGACATCATATTAGAAACCTCTAAATTTATTAATGTTTCTCTACTATATTATGCATGTATTATACATATAAACGTTCCTTAAGACTCATTCTATCCACAGAACATCTTTCTTTATATGTTCTGTGATTCTATCTATTAAAAAAACTGCATCAAAATCCGATGCGTAGTGTTACAGATCTCATACATAGGGATAGACAAACGGCCAATAGCAACTTTATTTTATACTATTCTTATATTTACATTTATTTATACTTTACGTACAACCCGATAAGTCCCCCGCGACTCCGAAAATATTAAAGCTTAACTCTATACTTACAATTAATGTTCTAGATATTGTTAGAAGTTCTATATTCTATTCTCAGAATTTCAAATTATCTAACGTTGCCCTCTAAAATCTAAATACCATTACCTACTCGAAAATTTCTAGCTACCGATTAATTTCTAATAACTTCCTAACAAGCATCTAAAAGTAGTGTTCTATAATGTTAGGAACGTAGATAAACTCGCAAGCTAATCTAAAAACTTAGTCTTAGGATTAGGGCTATTTTAATGATTTAGTAGCCACCTAACTAGGTAAGCTTTATTAGGATATATGTATATAGAAAGTTAATGCTTGTTTGATTGTGACTGATAGAAGTAAGTTAATAATTCATTTTATTCCTGGGTTGTGGCTGAAATCGTGCCCTTTATATGGCCACTGGCTCCTATTCTTTTACTCACTCATCATATTCGACATTTTGTGTGATCCACAAATTGTTGTTTTGGGTCTGGATATCATGTGTATAAACGCAATCACGACAAAGGAGAAAATCCTAGTGTGGGGTAAAGTTTAATAAAAAAATGTTACTGATGAAAAGAAGATGTTAGATTTTTTATAATTAATAACTATCGTGAGACATGCTGAATTATCTAAAACAAACGGTTTGCTCACGTAAAGATACTGAGAAGAGCTTTTCTAGTTCCGAGTCAAAGAGGGCCTCCACTAGGCCACGCGACAACGCACGCCGAGGCCGCGCACGCTGATCGTGAGAAAGATCAGCCCCTGTGTGACTCGAAACTAGTTGAGCTTTTCTCAGTATATTTATTTACGTGTGTAAACCGCTATTTTTAATAGATGTTACATCATTAACTAAAATCGCGGGGACGGTGCCGCGACCACGCAGGCTGCTCATGATGAAGAACCCCTCTGTGGTTCGAAACTAGTAGAGCTTTTCTCAGTATATTCACGTGAGTAACCCGCGATTTTAGTTAATTTAGTATGTCTCACGATAGTTATTATAAAAAGATGTTACATCATAAACGTGCACCTCTGTCTACCTCTTCGAAAAGCATGGTGTCATGTTATCTTTAGTTTCACCATCACTTTAATCTCAAAAAGAAACAATACAAACAATTGGTTCTATACTGTAGTACTTAGACTATTCGCGGAGAACCTAACGGGTAACCGGGGCTCCGGCTCGACGTGCAGGAGAAGGAACGGGGTGGTTTTTAGTCAGTAAGAGTCTGACACTCCCTCCCGCCTCACCCAGGCGGGAGCAGTCACTCGATGATATTCCCACCTTAAAAAAAAGTACTTAGACTAAGACAGCTCCAAAGCAATTTGTCATTCCCAAAATATGAACCTATTAATACACAAGCTAACCATGGAACATTAATGAAGTATGTATTAAAACAAAGTGTACCACGTCAACATAATCTAAATTACATTTGAATAAGTTGGTTGTAATCACAACATTCGTTCGTGACCTTTATCAAACGTGAAAGCCCCTCACGAACTTTTAATACGTTCAGCCATTGATTTGTTATTTTATGGCGAACACAAACTATGAATATTATATACAATGTTTACTATCATCGTGGTTTTGTCTATATTTTAATTATTATGTCTTCAGCTTACTCACGTGACTGTTTTTCGAGGAACTCGGCTAGTTTCAAGCCACACTAGGGGTTCATATTCATGAGTAGCATTCCGAACACGCGACACAGCGACTGTCCCGCTGGTACTGTCTGTATTTTGCCAATTATTCTGTTTTATTACCTACTAAGATGCCCTAAAAATAAGTTTAAAAGTAGCCTAATGTTACTATCGTTCTACGTTTTGGATGTCCTAAAATTACACCGAACTATGCGATGGATTGTCGTATGGTTTTTACCACTAGATAGTATGATGCCTAAGAAAAGTTCAAGTGTATAATTTATCATGGTTGTGATCACGTGAACGAAGTTACAGCCAGATAGAAGGCTAACTATTTTTAGACTACTTACCTGTACGCGGCGGTAGTCATCAGTTCTATGTGTAGTTCTAATAAAATATGTAATTGTTCAGGATAAACCAGTACTTCACAACGTGGTAGCTGGTATAATCGTGAGCACCAAGTCGCTGGTGCTGCAGAAGGTGACTAGAGACCATGGAGGTGACTACTCCTGCAGAGCAACCAACGCGCTCGGAGAGACTGCCAGCCAATCCACGCATCTTAGCATACAATGTAAGTAAAACACCCATTCTTTTGTATTTTAATTAATATATGATAGCCACGAGCCTACTAAACCACCCCTCCAGTATTGTGAATGTCTGCACGTGGCCCTGTTAACTTTCTAATTATCAGGTTACTAGGTAAGCGGCCTGCTCGTTTAAATATCATAAAAAATCGTCTATTTACCTCTCTACTTCTAGCGCGTCTACGAGTAAGAAAGAAAGAAAGAAAGAAAGAAAAATAATTTATTCGCCACCAGACATGGACCACCGAATTACACACAAAATAATAAGTACCTACATACATTATTATTATTGTGCCTACTTTATGACCTTAAGGGAATCAATACTTTAAAATTATAAAGTCCTTTATTTGAGGGGGAAAATCATCGAATGACTTCTCCCGCCCGGGAGAGGCAAGAGGGAGTACCAGACTCTTGCTGACTAAAAACCACCCCGTTCCTACTCCTGCACTTCGAGCCGGAACCCTGGCAACCCGTTAAGCCTTCCGCGGCTCCATATCGGCATCAGCCCTATTGGGCCCAATCTGTGGTGGTCTGATGACTCCTTGAGGCGCGCGCAGAACGCGACGCGCCGTACGCTCGGGATTATAAAGTCCTGAGTTTGTATTTGTCAATGTTTATACCTAATTATGCTAAACTTTACTTTTCATAATGATGTATGCATATATTTCCTTCTTATACCAAGTTTTTTCTTTACATATTGAATTATCCAATACCTACATATTTCCGCAAGATCCTCATATACTTGCAAACCCTAATCCCAATTACCATAAGAAAAGTATATGAAGGAAAAGGACTAATTTATGTATTCAATTAAGAACATTTCTGAGCGTCCGTACAATCTTCATAATTTCAATTCTTTTCTACCGTTCATGAGTCTGTCTAGGTAAATGTAGTAAATTAGTTTTAAATTAAGCGTGGGTCGCAGGTAAATGTCAGAGTTAGGTACCTTGGAGTTATATCACTACCTAATAGAAGGCTAAATTGATGATCCTTGGTATTTCCAATTTCTTTTTTCTACTTTGGAAATATAAATATGCTTGATATTGCGTCTCTTTTTCTTGAAGTACAGGTGGAGAATTTTAATATGGAACTCCCTTCGACAGTTAATTTTTTATATCTCACGTAATACTTGTAGAGAAATACTTTCCTTAATCGGTTTTCAATTCAATAATCAAAATAAATTTAAAAATCTGTGATGGTCCAAATGTTACCAAACCTTTTTTTTGAGGGGGTAAAATCATCCAATGACTTTTCCCGCCCCTCCTGAGGTGGGAGGGAGTGTCAGACTCTTACTGACTAAAAACCACCCCGTTTCTACACTTCGAGCCCTTCTACTTCCTGCACTTCGAGCCGGATCCCCGGCAACCCGTACAGTCTTGCACGGCTCCGTATAAATTTTACCAAACCTGGGAATCGAACCTTAACCTCTAACAAGGGTAAGCCATCAGACCACCACAGATGGGGCCCAGTAGGGCTAATGCCCGATACGGAGCCATGGAAGTCCTAACGGGTTGCCGGGTTTCCGGCTCGAAGAGCAAAAATAGGAACGGGTTGGTTTTTAGTCAGTAAGAGTCTGACACTCTCTCTCGGGAGAAGCCTTTGGATGATTATTCCACCTCAAAAAAAACTTTCAGCCTCCTGATTACCTCAACATACAAAATCTTTCATTAATAACCTAAGTGAGTTTACCTACATCTCGCCCACACGGCCAATTACCAATAGATTACGTGACATCACTCATAATTCTAAATACAGAAACAAGAACCCAATCACCAATACAGTACATAGCAATAAATATTGCACATCCAGACATTTCTTTACAACAAGCTTTTACCCGCGGCTTCACCCGCGTTCCTTTTTTTTATGGGATAAGCCGATAAACGAGCAGACAGATCACCTGATGGTAAGCAATCGTCGCCGCCGTAGGACATCTGAAACACCAGACTCGTTACAAGTGCGTTACTGGCCTTTTGGGAATTGGGAATTTAAGGATTGTGGGGGATTCGTGGATTGGGGAGACTTGGTAATTAGGCGTTGTTTCACGTCGGTTTTCTGTGAGGCCGTAGTATAACGCCGGTTGAGTCGGTCCATTCGGACCACACTCAAAAATAAAAAGTTCTTAGAATAAAAGTGCCTCATGTGTTATTTCAGAGTATAAATCTTTCTATGTACTGAATTTTATTCAAATCTATTCAGTATACTTATGGGAAAAAAGCAACAAACATAATTACATTCTTACGAACTCATATTAACAATATTAGTAGATTGGTTTTGAAAAAACTGCTGCCTCGATGACCGAGTGGTCGCAAGTGCGACTACCGGGCAAGGGGTCTCAATGTACTACTGAGTTTTTTATAAATTCTCAGTAGTAGCACGGAGTCTGAAATTGAGCCCGATATATGGCAATAGGCTCACCCCCTATTACATGGGACTCATAACATAAATAGTGAAAAGTGGGTGTTACATTGTACAGTGACATAATGTACACCTCTGCCTACCTCTTCGGGGATAAAAGGCGTGATGTTATATTATGTTATGTTTTGAAAAAAAAACACTGAGACAAATACTTTATTACATGTACTTTCGGTTCATTAAAATGGAATATAATATGAAATATTTAGAAAAATAAGCATCAAAAGCCGATGTGTAATATTCATCGCCGGGTACTGTACAATATTATGTACGTTTATATGAACTCAGTACAAGATGCTAAGGTCGCAATTAGTGACTTCAGCAACTCGTGTAAGGTTCACCGCCGCATCTATAGTTAAAGTTAACTTTGACGCTAGAACTTATTGTGCTTACAAGCTTAGTTAATGAGAAAAGAATAAAGTTGACAAATAAAAGGTTCGAAGTTAGACAGAACAGAAAATGTAGTAGATTAGTGTCTGAAGCTCTCTTGAATATTCATTTGGTTCCCCGTCTTACTAAAATTATATATGTAGATAAATAACATGTATATGATCAATTCTTGAAAAACTAAACCCGAAAATAGTGTTTCACTATCACTTTTCTGAAAAAACATCACCCCATTTTTTACGTTGTCATAAAGTTCATTTATTCTCAAATAAACACAAAGTGAATAAACTATTATACTAATAAAATGTCGGCTATAGAAGAGGCAGTAAGTAAATTGTTGCTTAGATAACTTCCGGCTGGGATCGACGCGTCCTTTGTTTTCCTATTATAAAACAGAGTGCTAATAAATTACGTTTCATTTCGCCGGAGGCTTTTCGTCGTCTGCTGACTGCTGTATCAATCATTCTTACAAAGATCTTAACAAAGATTTGTTATAGTCAACGGAGTGCCACGGTACAATGTATTGAAAATAGAATAATTCCATTTACTGATAAACACGGGCAATAAATTACAATAAAGGAGATTAGGAACGCTACATCTGTCTTCTTGCCCGGTGTGATGTATGTAATGTACTCGCGGCCCGGAATAATGCCAGGATAATGAGTTCTCCTTTATACATACAATATGGTTTTTGAATACGTTCTACAAAATTGAGTAATATTCATGAATAGGCACTAATTACATTATGAAACCGTACAACCCATATTCAGAGATACACATATGATCCCAAATTACCCGTATTAAAGCGAGGAGGTATTTTGTTCAGTTGCGTATAGGACGTACATTCGTGTCGAGAATGTCTGTTTCCCGCATAACACCAGAAACACTCCATTTTATGGATGAAAGAATCGTTCGTGCGCTTGCTAATGAGCGTGCAATCAGCTGCTTCACCAAAACATTTTGGCAATAGGCCAGACTACGCTAGTACACAGGGGGCTAATATTCCAGCCATTTGCCGACAATACGCCGATAGAAAAAAAATCCTTAAACGCAAAATGAACAACATGATATCGATCGCTAAGTGAGTGCAAACTACTATACAGAGGGATTAATTTGCCACGCGGATCAATGCGTCAACAAACAAGTTGTATTAATGAAGTGGTGAGGGCGCACTTCGACAGGCAGTCGTCAGAGTCACCGAGCGACTATCAATCATCTTGGAAGCTGGCTCGAGAAGATTTACGTGGGTTCCGTCACCGCGGGCGGCGGCGGCACGACACGGCCGGCCGATCTGCGACAAATGTACCGCTCCGACCCTCCCTGCTATTTGTTACCGCACCGCTGTTTTACTTTTGCACCGCTCGCTGCCGACAGTTTGTTTCCATTTTATTGATCCTTACCGTCACAAATCTAAGGCGAAGAAAATGTACGTTGTTATTCGCACGCGGTACACGATCGCTGGCGCCGGTGTTACATTAATCCACATACATATTTTCATATTCCCGCTACAGTAATCCTACCGAGGTAGGGCTGCTTAACGCGAGCAAATATTTGAGAGTTTAATGAAAATCTAAGGCAGCTCGGGAGCGCAGTTTTGCAAGTAGATATCTAAATGAATCACAGTCGCTGACTGCGCCTGCTCCGGAGGGGAACAGTTGGGCGATAAAATTTATATATCGTCTAACTTCTGTTATGATTTAACGAACTGTATTCGGGTCTCTTTTAGCTCTTTGTTAATTATGGCATTCTTGCTTGAGAGCTTTTGAGACAAAATCTTTGTTGAATATAACGCTCCGGTTTGTTTGTTAAATGAATATCATTTAAAAGAATTTAACTACCGTTTCCGCGTGTAACATTTCTGTGTTTTAATGAGAAAATTCTTACGGAAACACTGCATTGCAACGTTTGATATGAACATGTGAGTAATGTTTGCAATGCCAGTGTTGATTTCCTAGCTACGTATTAATTAGTACGTTAAATATTTACTGTTTCCGATTCAATACATGTTATTTACAATTCAGTCTAATAGTACACCTATTTAAACAAGTGACTCTTGAATGAGAAACATGATGATATTAATCTGCTGTACCTCTATTTATTCTTCTTTTGTTTGCATTGTAAACTGCAATTTCTAGCAATGATTCGATGATTCAGCATATTTAGACCTGATTCCCATTTCATGTACACAAAAATGAGACCAAATATTTATTTTTTATCCTTATTCCGCCTAGATGCTCCAGTATGTGCACATCCCTCACCACAAGTGCTGGGCGCACAGCTGGACGAGTCGTTGCGGGTACGCTGCTCTGTGACCGCCAACCCGCCAGACGTCAACTTCTTCTGGCAGTTCAATAACAGCGGGGAGAGTCTTGACGTGTCGCCGTTGAAATTTGGTAATGATATTCTTTTAATCTTTGTTCTCAAATCTTTTGCAAGGCTCAATTTTCTGTTGGTTTTACAAAAACTAATAATTTTGGACTTTCACCAACAAGATAGTCCTAGTAAATGTCTGAAAAAGCCACTAGTTGCTTTTATCTAGAAGTCATTTTGGATTTATATAGTCATTTTATATTCAGCAGTGGACGTCATGATTATATACAATTTTATTTTTATTTTTAGGACCTTTTGAACACAGTTCACGTTAGTTCCATCCTAACTTACACCTATTTAATGATTATAATCGGTCGATGTTTCTAAATGAATCGATCCATTTAACGACCGTCTTCCGTCAGGTACAGCTAACGGCAGCACGAGCGAATTGAGCTACAAGCCGCAGAGTGAGCGAGACTATGGCACGCTGAGCTGCCGTGGTACCAATACCGTGGGCCGACAACTAGACCCCTGCGTCTTCCAGATTGTCCCAGCAGGTAAGTGACCTTATGTATTTAATTATATTAGTCTTAAAATAAATATCAATCCAGACAACGAATCATGCAAAAGTTAATGAAAACGTTCTTAGAACTTCGCAGCAAAGTACATCGAATTCACTTTATAACGTACAATACGTACCCAATCGATATTCGCAGGTAATACAATATGTAAAGCAAAAAACAAATTACCCGCAAAATGAACCTTGATTACGTACCAAGCCCGCAATCAGAGCCAATATACTCCAATTGAATCCTGTGCAATGCATCTTCCCCTGTATTTATAAATACATAGGGAATACAATGCAATAACTCGAGTTTACAAAAGTCCAAAATGTCGGCACCGAAATGAACACTTCAATAAAAGCATTAATAAAACCGCTTGCACACAATTTGAACCAACAACGAGGCCGAACTTGCTCTACGTTTTATAATTCCAACTTTCGGCTTTCGGCCTTTTATACCCGCGTGCCAAATCTCATAACTCCTCACTGGTGACGTATAATTCACCTCGAACTACTATTGGCAAATAAGAAATGAGAAATACGATTTATGAAATTAATTCTAATGAACTCTGAACGAATAGCGCATAGAATCGACTGTGTTATTTTTGCTGACATGATTCCAACCTCCCGAGCACATTACACAATTCGAAACGTAAATTAATATAACAGCACGTTTCAATTAGAGAAGAAAAATACCAACGGGTAAATTGAAACTTTGTTAAAATATATGAAACTGTACGCGAGCTGCACGGAACGTACCGACGCCGTACATTATCTTTTTATTCTCAAATCTCGTTATTTTATAGGAACGGTTGCAACGTGCGCTTATAATACTGATGTGCACGACTGCCACACGAAATATGACTTAGCTGTTGCGGAATATCACAAAACCACGGTTTAATATCTCCGCAGCTTCGTTATAACATATTCGTGTTAAATTGTCACTAGCTTGCCATAAGTCAAGGCGAAATTAGTGAGTTTAGCGCCCTCTGCACTTAATTTTCGTTTCTACGCACGTACCGCGCCTGTAACACAAACTACGAACATTTCTTGCATCTCCTTCCCGCTTGACATACAATAATAATGTCGCGTAAGGGGAGTAAACTTCGATTTCTATTATAACTTAGCTTCGAAGAAAATAATCTTGAAAAAGTTAAAATGGCTCGGAAAATTGTTTAACTTCGCTCATGTCTAGCATTTTCAGCCACATTCTTAAAATATCATACATACAGGTTCTTTTTAAAAGTTTTGTTGTTGTATACGAGTATTAAATGTTTTGTTTAGTGACCAAGTTTGTATAAGCGAGACATAATTATTTTAGCATTTGTAGAAAACTCATTAAACAAACATTTCAGTTTGTAAATGAGAAGCGCTGTAGAATTAATTAAGATTTTCACCGCTATACTAAAGCAGTGACCGCTTGATTTCTAAAATTCAAAATTAACAGCGATCATTATCTGTTACCGACAGAGAAACTGAATTAAAACTTAGCGGTTCGTGTTACACAAAGGCTGGATAGGGCAAGCGAAGGCCTTTTCATCAAGGAGTCAGATAGCAACAGCTGAAACTAGCCACTTCTAGAGTTTGTTAACTCAACTGCCATTTGCAGCCAGTTAGTCTAAGTTTGCATAAAGATATTACAAACATAAAAGCGTGGGTAGATATCTAATTTAAACTTGTTTATTTAGTTGCCAGGTACAATATCGAAGGTTCAGTTTTACATAATATACTTACCTACTCAATTTAAGTTTTGACATAGCTATAGGATTATAATGAACCTTCCTAACTGTACTATATTACACCTATTCACACAATACCAGTAATATGATGCTTGTTGATATCCGTGGAATCAATCTTTGAGTTTAGAAATCAATAATGTTAGGTTCCAAATTCCGTGAAATAATTTTGGTCAAAAATACTATAATTACCTATAAAAATCTCAAAAGTAAACGACCGAATTCAATACGTTACGTTCGCTCTAAAAAAGGCTTAGCTTGCTCGTATAACAATTAACTCTTATTTTCATACACATCAAAACGATATATTATGTTTATGTTTTTTTGGCTTACTCACGTAATTATTTGACGAGGAACTCGACTAGTTTCAGTTTCAAAATATACTAGAGATGCATATTCTCATATTCATGAGCAGCATTCCGCCGGACACGTCGCGGCGACGGGCGATAGCTTGAAACTAGTCGAGTTCCTCGTCAAATGATTTTGTGAGTATTCCGAGAAATACGCGATATATTAAAGAAGGGCCAAATTAAAAGTACCCTTAACCGACGAGCATGCATTAAAGGTTGATGACTGTTGATGAAGCGAAAGAGGTATTTAGGAATCGTAGGAATTGGCTTTCCCTAGTCTCTGTCTACTCCCATGGGAGACAGGCGTGTATTTATGTATATATGTATGTATAGAAATTACAATCCTTACAACATACTATACTTTAGAATATTTTCTTTCCTCTTAGCTCGTCCAACAGCTCCAAGAAATTGTTCCTTGCAAACTGGTAACACGAGTGCGGAAGGCAGTTCGTGGTTGCGTGTGCGCTGCGTCGCTGGCTACGATGGAGGCCTACCTCAGTACTTCATGCTGGAAGCTTTGGACCCTGTCACAGGACGGACCAGGTTCAATGGCAGTGTTAATGAGACTGGTTCGTAAGATTTAATGAATCTTTTTAATTTTTCATTGCTTATGAAATCAATATTTCCTAAAATAAAATACTACGTAGTACTTGACAATACGGTTGGCGCGGTGGTTTGGCAACCGGCTGCCGCGAAACGTGTCGCGGGTTCGATTCCCGAACGCAACAACTCTTTGTATGATCCACAAATTGTTGTTCTGGGTCTGGGTATTATGTGTATGTGAACTTCTATCTAAACACACCCACGACACAGAAGACAATCCTAGTGTGGGGCAAATAATTAAAATAAAAAGAAAAAAAGGTATTAAATATATACAAAACGTGTTTTCACGGTGCACTATGAAGAAAAACGTTCTTTCAGTACCATCTGTACTATTGTACCTATTGTTTCCCATTTTAATTTTCATGTTTGTTTTACTCAACAGTTTTATTGCGTATTCACACCCCAGCTAATGTCCCTCTAGCAAGTTGTTTACGATTAATGATCTATTTAATATCATCTTAATATCTTTTCACACATTATCTTACGAATCTTACACAGATGGCCTTGCCGTATTCAAGCTAGACTTGGCCCAGCTAACATCTGCTGGTGAAGCTGCGGGAGCAACCTTCAACCTGCTCATCTATGCGAGGAACCTCAAAGGAGAGTCGGAGAAGACCTTACTTGAAAACATCGCCTTCAATGACGCGGCTCGGAGAACTGGTGAGCAAAATTAGTATTTAATTATATAGGAATAAAGATCATAATGTTTTAATGTTTTTAAATCGTATCTTTAGATTTGGGAGAGTAAGCAGTGTTTGTATGTGTTCTAATTTCAAAACCCAATAAAAAAATGTGATCTTTATTATGTAGGGAATGATTCCTAGGTTGAACGAAATTATCGGGTATTTTCATGGGTCAAAAATAAATTATTTTTATTTTTCAATCCAAATAAATATTCAAAAATAATTACAATTTCATTCATATGTTGACGATATACTTAATTTTCGATTTAGCATTTTTTTCAGAAATAATTAGTGTGCTATTTGACTCGAAAATATGATGACGTCATAAGTTAGTTTTTGGTACAAAATTCATAGAACAACATCGTTTTTGACGTTTCAATAAAAGTATTGAATTTGATTAGTTGTAAAATACCATATTGGGTACTTGCCAACTAGTCAAATTCAATACTTTTTTCGACCTGTCATAAAACGACAGCTTTCTATGAATTTTGTACGAGATTGTGTATTGTGACGTCACGTTTTTTTAACGTCAAACAGCATTCTTATTTCTTTAAAATTTGCTGCAAAAATACTAAAATTAAGTTGGTCGTAAAATCAATTAATGAAAGTGTAATTACTTTTTAATATATTATTGTATTGAACAATTCAAATAATTTACCTCTATATTACACTAAGGAAAGTATCCAATCGAAACTTACTTTGCACGGTAAAGATCGGAACTTACAATAGGTAAATACGTACTTTTCGAGAAGCAGTTAGGCAGTAAATATCAATTGACCTTTTACTAAAATTTCTATACACAGTATCGTTAACGCAACACAAATTTCGAAAGCATTCATTTACAAACTTACAATTCATACAATCCTATAAAATCAACAGGCCAATGTTAGAAATAGAACTATCTGGAATCGCTCTTCATAATGAATACAAAGTTTATTATAACAACAGTTACAAATAATACCTGTTATTTGGAATAGCATAAAATAACAATCGTTCAAGGCCTCGATACCTTTGGCTTTGTTAAGCTAACATTTAAATTAAATTCAATATCAATATACTAGTAGGTTTGTTAATAGAAATATATAATATTTCAACGATATAATTATTACGTCGCTTTGTATAATTAAGATTTCGTAGTGCCGAGTAATACAGATGTGAATAAATTGTTTTAATTGTGTGGAATGGGTTCAAATTGGATTTTAATAAATGTATAGTACCTACTATAGTAATTCGAACTAACATGTTTACTTTAATATTATTTAACATAAACATCACGCCTGTTATCCCCGGAGAGGCAGGTAGAGCTGAACATTACGGCACTTAATGCCACTGTACAATGTAACACCCACTTTTGCACCCACCCACTGGATGGAAAAAAAATCTCAGTAGTAGTACGGAGTCTGGAATTGTGACCGGTATATATCAATAGACTCACTCCCTATTACACGAGACTCATAACATGAAAACTGTATAGTGAAAACTGGGTGTTACATTGTACAATGCCATTAAGTGTCGTAAACGTGCACCTCTGCCTACCCTTTCGGGGATAAAACGCGTGACGTTATGTTATAAAATCTAAAAAATCGAAGACAGTATAACTTTTTATATTATGTTAGATATGTAGTTTTATAAAAGAGAATCCTTTAAGTTGTAGAAACCCAACCCGTACGTTTCATTTTGATTAACGTCCTAAGTTAAGTAAAATAAAATTCGCCCGACTAAGCTCTATACATTCATCCAATTCAAATAATCATCTATTAAGAATATAAAAGGGTATTCTTAGTATAAGCCCTTTTTCGGGGTACGGAACTAAAAAAAACATTTGAAATTGAAGCTTTTTTACTCTGTGAATTTAGTCGTGAGTCTATTTATACTCTGTTTCCGTTTACATTGGGCTCCCAGAGGTCAGGATTATTGACTCTTGCTCTCAACAATTTTTCCATTTTCATTCAAATTGACGTTTCGTTTTGATTGATCTCATTATTAAACAAATATGATTTGAGGTCTTTATTTGTTGAATTTATTTGCTTCCGAGTGCCTACTTTGAATTATTATGTTTCTTTTAGACGAAGGACAGAATAATAAATTACAATCGAATATTTCCTTTGTTCATTAATTTGTAAAGACTCGCAATGTTTACGTATTTTGAAATGGCTAACTGAAATATTGTTTCATATTTTATGACGCGCGTTAATTATACAATCTCATTCTTACTTTTCTTAGAGGTAGGCAGAATGGATTCTAGCTTATATTTACAAAAGAGATCAAATTAAAAATCACTATGCATACTAGGATTGTACCTTGTGAAGATGTTCTTCCAACTTCCTGTACCAACGAGGTATACAGAAATAAATATCACTCCTTTTTACCAAATTACGGCACTTAATGCCACTGTACAACGTAACACCCACTTTTCACTATATATGTTATGAGTCCCATGTAATAGTAGGTGAGCCTATTGCCATATACCGGGCACGATTCCAGACTCTGTGCTACTACTGATACTTAAAAAAAACAGTAATACTTTCCCCGACTTAAATCGAACCCAAGACACCTTGCCCAGCAGTCGCATTTGCGACCACTCGGCATCAATCGGCCATCTTGGCAGTCGAAAACAGAAATGTGTCAGAAAATAGTTTTTTTTGGTCATATAATAACTAATCACATTCTCATAGATGGCAAAGGAGCAATGAGTGGAGTAAGCGTCGGAGTGGCAGTGGCAGCTGCACTGGGGGCCACGTTGGCAGCTGGTGGTCTAGCCATAGCTGCCTTATGTGCTCGGCGACGAAGAGCCGCTCCACCTCACAAACACCCACCTGGAGACATGCTGGAACTGAGTGACGGTGGAAGACGATACGTGGTGGCATACACCATCAAACCCTCACCAGACTTGAAGACGCCAGACCCACAACCAGACATACTGAATGCTCCAGGTAATATGCTGAGTAAGTGGACAATGAATAGTTACATAAAATAAGGACATTTTGACTGATTAAAACAGTAAATGTTAATTGGTAACTTGGACTTGACCGTGAAGACTTATGATTTTGTGTGTTTACAGATTCCGAAAATCAACCTTCAGCTCCTATATTAGATGAAACTGACGAATGGCCTAGTATAAAGGAAGTCAGAGGTAAGTTATATAACAATAATAATAGTAAACAATAATGTATGTGGGTACATAAGACTGACTGGAAATAATGTATTTAAGGAGATTGGAGTAAAGCCGGCGCGGTCTTCTCGGCAGAAGACCTCGCATTGCTTGACTCTACTGGGAGACCACAACAGGTGAGCAGTAATTTTCCGAACATGGTATGAGTGATTACATTAAAGATGTTCGTTATGCTAATCACCTGTTTCCTCCTACAGCTGACACCAAACAGCGACCTAGTCCCCAGTAGACAAGAAGACGTACTCAACCAGAACTTACAACAGTTAGGAAGTAACTTTAGGCCTAGCTACGTAGTCACTAACAGCCCTACGTTGGGCAGCCCTAACTTCGTGTGTCCTAATGGGAACTTGAGTTCTCCGTTCGGTAGCCAGACTCTTAGTGGACCAACCCTAAGTTCAGGGAGTCTGGCTACCTCCACGCTACATAGAAGCAAAGGGAAGGGGAATGTTCGGAGAAGGGAACACGTGTTAGCAGAGAATCTTCCCGGACCAGAGAGTTGTGTGTAAAGTGATGACTATATGTGCTTCACGGATTTGAATTCAAATGTTACTTTCGCGATATTTGCAGACCAAAGCTATTCATTTTGGCAACTAGACAATTTATTGAATCGATGTTTTTTGTTGGTGAATTTGTATAACACTGCCAAAGACACTATTGAATTTGATCATATTGCTAAACGCCGTGACAATATTTCACGTGTAAATAGTTCTGATAGTTTAATATGTTTAGCTAACGTGTCCTACAAGGGGGAATGTCCGATATATCTTGTACATTGCTCTTATATTGTATAATAAACTGAGCCACGCAGCGCTCTCAATAAATTACGGCCTACATTTTGTGTTACTAATTTGCTCAAAAATCGGAAACTTGGGGAGTGCGAAGCACGAAGTTTTAAATTGTATTTCAAGGTTCCTCATAATTATATTAAGTAGCGGAACAGCTCGAAACTTAGTGGTCCGTACTTTTATTTGAGTCACAGAATGAAATGTACAACAAACATTTTTATTGTTCCCCTCCTAGCTACTAGAATAAAGACTTAATTATATTTTTCATACACGTCTGATGCTCCAATTGCGATAAAATAAATTTATAAGACATAAAGGCTTATAGAGTTTCCTATTTGATTTAATAAAATCGGTTGTGTGTGTAAATACTGATAGTTGTATAAGTCCGACTTGTATGTATAGATACAAATATTATATCTAGGTTAAGGAGCTTTTGTTGTCGATTTATTTATGTGAGGGTATTTAGTGAAACTGTAAATATTGCATAGTCCGTGATGAATAGATGAGGCGCTCTGGGCATACGGCATGAGAGGGCCCTAGGGAGGGCGAAATGTAAGATGAATATAAGTTGTGAGAGGTCCGTGTATCTCCTTACAACATTGACATCCCACCATAAAATGTAAAATAAAATATGTACAAAACGGTCGCGTAATAAATCACAGTCACACTCCGGTGCGGTACCTCGGACGGTTTTCCGTATGGCGCGGTTTTGAGGTAGTAAAATGTTTTTAGATAAAATAATTTTCTTACATCGCTTTAAGTAATTGGTGGGCGGAGTGAATTGAATGTACTTCATTGTTAGACGTGCTAATTTGCGTGCTTAATTTAAGCATTATTTTGGAAATTCAACTAATATGTCGATCGCTATTCCGAAAAAGTTATTCCTATCAATTATTATTCAGTAATAAATTTACAGAGATTTTTTTATTTTATTATATTATCTACTAGCGATCCGCCCCGGCTTCGCACGGGTGCAATCTGCATGTATTATCAATATAAACCTTCCTTAAGAATCACTCTAACTATAAAAAACCGCATCAACATCTGTTGTTTAGTTTTAAAGATCAAAGCATACATAGGGACAGACAGACGGAGGATAGCGACTTTGTTTTATACTATGTAGCGATTATATTAATAAACATATTATATTATAGAGGTACATTGAAGGGTTATCATTCTCTCATGCCGCATGCGTAGAATAAGTCAGTAGTGCCATTTTATATCGATAGCAATTGTAAATGTTTTCATTTTGTGTTGATTCTATTATATAGAGTTTAACAATGAAACTGCGGGTTCATTTGTAACATATGATCGAACTGTTTGTAGACGTCATCAATCTATGTGCTCCTAACGATCTGATATGGCAATTTTATATTTAATAAATAAATAATGGTTTATATAAAATGTTTTATGTTTTATTTCTATCCTTTTATGTTTACTGTATATAAGCTCTATCATTCTAGACGAAAAATAACAAAGACATGTGAGTCAAAGTACATTTTTAACTGACTTGATAATATGGACATATTCATAGTAACTAAAAATCGCGGGTTACTCACGTGAATATACTGAGAAAAGCTCTACTAGTTTTGAACCACAGAGGGGTTCTTCCTCATAGTTAATTCTTCCTAAGTTCCTAAATTCCTCAAAGGCTGCGCGACATCGCCGCGACCGATTAACACTATTTAATTAAAAAATCACCAGAATTCGACACTAAACTATCGTGAGACATATCTCACGATAGTTATTATAAATATTCATAGTATTCATTTCATATGGACATATTCGTAATAGGAACCAGTGTACCCAAGACGGTCTGTTATTATGCCTATTAAAAAGGGATCAATCAGTTTTTAGTCAGGAATTAAGAGCTACTACTGAGAAAATCATGAACCAAAACCATAATAAACCAATATACAAATCAAACAATATATTCAGCATTCTTGACAATAAAGAACGAAATTAAAAAGCAAATAACATAACATAAAATCATGCCTTTTATCTCCGAAGGGGTAGGCAGAGTTGCACATTATGCCACTGTATAATGTAACACCCACTTTTCATTATTTATGTTACGAGTCCCATGTAATAGGAGGTGAGCCTATTGCTATATACCGGGCACAATTGCAGACTCCGTGCTACTATTGAGATTTTTTTAAAACTCGGTAATACTTTGCCCGACCTGGGAATCGAACCCGAAACCCCCTTGCCCGGCAGTCGCACTTGCGACCACTCGGCCAACGAGGCAGTTATAGTAAAAAACAAATATGAATCCTTAAATCCTTACTATAAGAATGCTTATTCCTTACCTATAGACTCTTCTAAGTTCAGTTACTTAAGTTAGTGTATCGGATTAGTTTGTTTATTAGAGGTAAGCTGAGACGTTGAAAGTCTAGACCAGGCTAACGTAATAAGCCTAACTAAGACAGGTAATACAATTTCTAGTTATAACTTGGTTGGCGCGGCGGTTAGGCAATTGGCTGCCGCGTACCGCGTCGCGGGTTCGATTCCCGGACGGAACAACTCTTTATGTGATCCGCAGATTGTTGTTCCGGGTGTGGGTGTCATTTGTATGTGAACTTGTATGTTTGTAGACGCACCTACGACACAGGAAGAAGTCGTATATACGTTAAAACTTGCTAAAATATTGGCCCGTCCTATGTTTCAGGATAATAGGGTAGGTACCAGTTTCCGATTTGAGTATATATCATATTTTTATATATGAAAACTTCGTTTTTAAAAAAAGGTTCCTATCTACGTGGGAACATGCCAGTTGTAAGTACTATTTCTAGATTCAGTTTCGTACTACAAAGACATATGATTATTAATATATTTTTTATACAAAGGGTGATGCTAAATGGTGTTCAACATCACGCATCACATAGACAGCCTATTAGTTACCACTTCTGAACAAAGGCCTCTTTTCATATGGAGAACCACGCTTACTCAATGCAGGTTGGCGATTTCAACAAACACATACAATAGCTACACGATCAATAATAATCATCATCATCATCATCAACACCCTATAAGTACTCACTGCTGAGCAAAACCTCTTCTCAAACGAAGACGGTTTGAACATTAATCACCACGCTTGCTCATTGCGGGTTAGCGATTACAAACTTAAAATTATAAATTAGAAGTCCAGGTTTCCTCACCATGTTTTCCTAAACCAACTGTCAGTGGTGTCTAAATAATCTTAAAAAGTACATATAACTTGGAAAAAGTCACATTGGTGCTGGCCGTTGGTAGGTTTCCAACTCGCACTCTCATGTCTTTGCGCGACAAAATCCGAAATATGGAAATTCGCCAAAGAACTAGAGTTACCGACATAGCTCGCACAATCTGCAGACTGAAATCGCAATGGGCAGGTCACGTCGCTCGAAGGACTGACGGCAGATGGGCCAGGAAAGTCCTTGAGTGGAGCCCACGGACCGGATGAAGCGCGGGCAGGCCTCCCGCTAGGTGGACCGACGACATCGTCAGAGTTGCGGGGAGCCAGTGGATGCAGGTGGCGAGCTGTTGTTCGACGTGGATGACTAAGAGGGAGGCTTTTGTCCAGCAAGTGAACGTCTTCAGGCTGTTGATAATGATGATGACTCTCATGCACGAGAAGCGGGCGTCCTAACCTCCGGGCCACCACGACATTATAACAACCCAATCTCAAAACGAATCTATCCGTACATCTTTATAATCTTAAATCTGACAAAAACAAATGAAACTTTTACCTAAAACAGTCTTATAAATAATTTCCTATATCCAAGCTTAAATACAATAACTTCCTTCCTATTTTCATTAGGAGCTGAAGTTTGTAAAGTCTATATCGCAGTATTTATCTCATTGCGGTACCGAATTGAATTCAACAGAATAACAAACGACTCGTTCAAAAACAACGCGGCGACGTAAGCGAGCTTCAAACACTAGGAACTCTTAAGGGGGATACTCCAAAGTGGTAATTTCAATATTTCTTACGTTTTTTTTTTTGTAATTTACAGCTCGATATCATATAATACATAGATTAACAGTAATTAGATGTATGTAAATACTCAATTGTATATGTTAACAATCCACATCATTAGGTCACTTAAATAAGGTGTAAAACTTTATTTTTTTATTAAAATGGTACATTTGATATCTTCTCTTAGTTACAAAGCTAAGTTCATGGTTTTATACAGGTACTAGCTGTTGCCCGCGACTTAGTCCGCGTAGAATATGATTCTCGATTTATCTCATAGTAGCATTTAATCTGGATAAAAGTTCTATCACCAAAGTCCGCCCGTACCCTGTCTGTATACCAAATGTCATCAAAATCCGTTCACTAGATTTAGCAAGATTGACGGAGAAATATACAAAGAAACTTTCACATTTATAATATAGTGTGATAATAATTATGTAAACACACACATGTTACTACCGCTAATATAAGTTTTATTACGTGTTACTATCCTATACGAAAATTGCAGAAAAACGTAACAAAACTTAAATTTCGAAGTATCCACCTTAAAAGCAAGCCCGCAGCTTCTAAAATGTTGACACAATCCTAACAAATCGACTTCCAAGACCTAAGTAATGTTTGCTGTAAACAATCACTAATTATAAACGTCTGAATTATTCACGAAAACGCTGTTAAATATTGTATCATTTTGGTTTAGATGTTTGTGCTGTTTAGGCTTATTAGGCAAGTTGGAGATGAGATTATGATGACAGGGATAAAAGGAAAA